GTAATACTTGTTTGTATTCGTAGGGTTTTGGAAAGATTAATAAGTGAATTTTATAGTTATAGCGCTAAAAAAGTAATTTCTCCAAACAATTGATTTCTGATCTCCAAATCTTGCATTTTCTGATAGTTTCATCAGAGAAAAATAGCATGTCTAGAATATATATTTCAACCGATTGAGATCAACCGGACCAGATCGGTTACGACTCGATTCTTCAGTGTAGAGTAAGGTACTCATGCATACCTTTAGATGACAGAATAGAAACGATGATGTATCGATTTCTAGGCACATCATTGCTTGGCGTAAGTTTTTGTTTATGTTTAACGGTGTTGACGATGATGCTTGCAATAATGTATTGATTTGAGACTAATAATGATTGCCAAGAATTATTTGATTATATATTTTTTTTAGGCAATATAAATGTTTGTCTTATGGGTGATCCTGGTGTAGCTAAATCACAATTATTAAGTTATGTCAATCGTTTAGCACAACGTAGTCAATATACAACTGGTCGTGGTTCATCTGGTGTTGGTTTAACCTCAGCACTTATTAAAGACCCAATTACAAGTAAACAAAAAAACGAAATTATAACGATTCAATATGTATATAATTATATTTCTGTTTTTAGATGAACTTGTACTCGAAGGTGGTGCGTTAGTCTTAGCTGATCAAGGTGTTTGTTGTATTGATGAATTTGATAAAATGACTGAATATGATCGAACAGCTATCTATGAAGTTATGGAACAACAAACAATTTCTATTGCTAAAGTAATTAATAAAAACATGTTTTTGTCTCGAAAAAATAAACTATGACATATATATATGTATCTTAGGCAGGTATATTAACATCGTTAAATGCTCGTACATCTATCTTAGCTGCTGCTAATCCTGCATATGGTCGTTATAATCCAAAACGTTCAATTGAGGCTAATATTCAATTACCCGCAGCACTCTTATCACGTTTTGATTTACTTTGGATAATTCAAGATAAAAATGATCGTGAAATAGATCTTAAATTAGCTCGTCATATTGCATCTGTACATCAAACTGGATGCCAACCAGAAATCGAAAATAATCAACATTTTATTGATATGAAAACATTACGGTAGTGTTTTGAAATGTTCGTCGTTTTTTTTTCATTCTTTGTCTTTAGACGATATATTGCAACATGTAAAAAGAAACAACCATTAGTACCTGAAACATTACTTGATTATGTTGTTACGGCTTATGTTGAATTACGTAAACAAGCTCGTGTTAGTAAAAATATGACATATACATCAGCAAGAATGCTTTTATCAATACTTCGTTTATCAACTGCGCTTGCTCGTCTTCGCTGTGGTGATCTTGTATCAAAAGATGATATCGATGAATCTCTTCGTTTAATGGAATCATCTCGTTTACTTTTGAAAGATCATGAAAATGTACCAACAAGGTATGAAAATAAAATTTGCTTTATGTATTTTTTCTTTAACGATTGTTCTTTTTTTGTTCTATTAGACAAATCAATCCAATTGATCAAGTATTTTCTATTGTACGTGATATGGTACCATCATCGGGTGCTAAAATTGTTCGTTATGCTGAAGCTAAAGAACGTTGTATTGCAAAAGGTCTTAAACCAGATACATTTGATGCTGCACTTGAACGTTATGAAGAAATGGGCTTATGGTTTGTTAATCAACAGCGTACAACAATTACAATTGTATAAAACAAAAATAATTAATCTTCTCATGTAGTCGAATATAACTGTATATACGTCTATTTTTTTGGTCAGATACTGTCAGATTCATTTGTATGTGTTGGAAAACAGGAAATATTTTTTTTTTATATATATCCAATCAAGATTATGTTAGATATGGTTGTATAAAAAACAAAGAAGAAGATTAGATATAGAGATATATATGTTTGAATAATAAAAATAAATAAAGATAATTACATTTGATATTATTTGAAGATTACATAAAGAATCAATAGCAAGACACTCACACTCAAGAGGGAACTGTGAATTACAGCCAGGGTTGCCATATCTTGTGAAATGGCATGAAAATTTCGAATTTTGTCTTTTTTCTGAATGCTTTCCAACGTTCTGAATTCGTCCAAATTTGAAGCTTTTTTCCGAAGTTTTCCGAAATGTAATATTTTTTTAGATTTCAGCTTTTATGCGTTTTATTATAAGTTCTAATCTAATTTATACCGACAATTAATAGACCATCGTTGTTCTATTGTAACGATTAAATAGAACAAAATTTTACGTTCACTAAGAGTACACGCTCTCATGAATCTACAGCATTTCCGAACTGACCGAGACACCTTGTATAGTGAAAGAAAGCCATTTGAATAGCCTATTTCTTCAACGTGAACAAAATTCTAAGTTTCAGAAGACGCTCTTTCCCACTCAATAATTCTCACATTTTAAACTGAATTACATGCAGCCATGAATGATGAAATCAGGGTTCGAATGTTAGTATAATTGAGTTTAAAGGAGAGAAAATATTTAAAAAACAATTATATGTGTATCTAAACGTCAAAAAAATGCCGGCCGAATTGTTTTCTGAAATAGTATGAAAAAAATTCCGATTTTTGCAACTTTATTTGAAAATTTCGGTTTACAACTTTTCAATCTGGCAACTCAGATTGTAGCTGACTGTTTCAGCTCATATTTCAAGCTCACTAGAAGACCTTGGTGAGACTAGAATAAGCTGAAAAGGGTCGTCTGCATGAAGTATTGAAGCCAAGTTATAGCGTTTTGCTGAATTTTCAGGTCATCTTTTTCCATTTGCTAGAAAATCAAACAATGGAACTTCGATCTGAAATTATGTTAATCGATAGGTTTAGAAGATTTTGAAGTTTTCAGCCGAGAGAAATTTTGCTTTGTTGCAATATTGAATTTTTGGCGTTGGGACAGAACGTCGCAGGACAAAACGTCGCGCAAACAAAATGTCGCAACACATTTTCAAGTTACACAAAATGTGGGTCAACATACCAAGCTAAACGATCTAGTGTCATGTTCTAGAGAATGTGATCTTGATCATACTATTCTAATATATGAGTGTGTGCATCTGTATATAGGGTTGAGGTGTGACTGAAGCTATTCTCGTCGTTGTGGGTCTCTTCATATGCATGCAGAAACAGGACAACACGAACTTGGGTTAGAATTAGGAAGCTTCTCTTTGTCTTCAGTAATACCCTCTCCCCTCCCCCCAAATTAAAAACCTACATGACCATCCACATTCATCATATACCCATACCCAACGATATCCTCACCCACACGCAGACTCACACCCACATCAATACTCTCACTCACACTCACACCCACACCCATACCCGACTGACAACAACGACTACAGCTTCAGTCATATGTGAAGTCTATACTCAGACGCACAGACTCACATATTCGAATAGTATGATGAAGATCACATTCTCTAGAACATGACACTAGATCCTTTAGCTTGATATATTGATCAGCCTTTTCTTTAACTTGAAAATGTGTTACGACGCTTTGTCCTGCTACATTTTGGCCATGCGACGCTTTGTTCGCAACGATATATCCGCGATGATTTGTCCGGTCACCAGTAACTTACCCTTTAAGGTGAAACGGGCTTCTTCTTTGTCAGTGTACGGAGGTAACATTTTACGAAGATCACTTAAGTTCAGAATATTAAATTTTCAGATATCTAATCAAAATCAAAAACTCAGTTTTTGTTGATTGATTTTCCTAGCAGAAGGAGAAAACAGTCTTTCAAAACCTTCCATTGAGGAAATATTAAAGATATTCAGACATATATAAGAAATAATCACTATTTTTAATGATTATTGAAAATTCTGTATTGTCGAAATTTGTCTTCATTTGCAATCTAAAAGAACTCCAAAATCAACTTTTTCTACGTATAAGCTATTGCGCTCTTTATGCCCATGCAGAAAAAAAGGGAAAGCTTTTTGAAAATTTCGAATTGCGATCGACTTAATTTGAGGTACTTCATTGTACTTTAAAGTACAAAAGTATGATGTTTCCCCCTTATTTGGGAAATGAATATTTTATTGGAAACTCTTCTCGGCTGAAATATTCAAGATATTCTCAGAGTCATCAGATTTATCTATGAACGAAATTTCAGGTCGATATTTCATTATTTGATTTTCCACTAAATGCTGTAAGACAAGTCGCAAATTCATGAAAACAATCATTATTCGATTTCAAAGGCTTATGAGCACGAACCCTTTTAAGTTTTTCCTAGTCTTACCAAAACTTTCTTGTAGGTTCAATATGAGCACAAGCGACAGAGTAAAGTTGGATTAGTTCTCTTGTTATGAAGAAGTGACCATTAACGTTGTTAAGTTTAGAACACACTGATGTACTTGTTGTCTGTTGGCAAATGATAGGAATATCAAGAAATGATTAAATCATGCAATAACAGTACAATTTATACATAGTGCCATCCAGCTAATCCTTAAATATTATATCAGTAGACAACTATAAGTCACAAACTAATATTAGAACATTTATCGAAGAAACATGAGGAGAAAAAATTTATCAAACATCACTTTCATCTATTAATTTTACCATCATTTTTCAGAACATGAAGGAATCGGATGTTAATAACATCCCAAAGAAAACCAGAAAATATTAATAGAAAAAAAGGCAAAGGTTATCTCCATTACTGCGAGAGCTTCTCAGAAAGGCAGGATATAATTCATGCGTACACAGTCTCTTTCGTAAGAGACATTTTAATACTATTATATCGAAATATGAAAACTTTTTCTCAGAAAAAAAGGTCAATGCTAATGCTATTAGCACAAAATCTCATATAGTCTCTAATTTTTTGGTATTTAGACAATAGAGTATAAATTCATATTGTTATTCCTATTCAAGATTTTTTCTTTCTATTTTCTTTAAAAAAATTCTGAAATAACTAACAATATTTGATTTTGAATTTTATTTTATTATAAAAGTCTATTATAATAATTAAAATGAGGTTAATGTTTCTTTTCTTTTTTACTTTAAAAAAATATCACAGAATTATACATGTATTTGATGTCACCGAATAATTATTCACTATTTTTAAATTATTTGATCCTGCATTAGCTAAGTGAATTCCTTTGATTTGTTGTCGATTATATTCCAAATTTTTTTCACGTATATCATCAAGAGTTTGTTGTTGTTGTTGATCAGTCAAAGTATTATTTATTGAAGATTGGTTTTCAATAACTATATCATCATCATCATCAACGTTATCTTTATCAGAATCATTGATTGCAAAGTCCGATGTATCAGATTGATCTGGACAACCTGAATAATTTTTTAAAAAATATGCTCGATAGGATTTACCGCTTTTCATTTTTGATAATGAAAGTTTTGCATTAAGACGATGAACATAACGATATGAAGTAATAGGTTGAATAATTTTTCTTGTTCTATATGCATCAAATTCTTTATCATCGATTTTATCATCATTTTCAAGGTCGCTATCATAATCATCTGAACTCATATCCATAAAATGTTCCATTTGTTCAACGATATTTTTCGCAGCTGAATGACTGTCTCGTTTAAGATTTCTAATAGAACATAATAGATTAAAAAAGAGGAAAAACAACTCTAATTTTCTTTATACCTGCTTGGTAATGCTTGAATTTTTGATTGTAATTCTGGATCATCTGGATCAGCAATCATTAATGTTAATAAACGTCGATCATTCATTGCCAAAATAATAAAATCATTATTAGCAATCATTGTTATTACATAATCATAAACAAATAATCTTGCTAATTGACGACGGTCTTTAACACGATACATACATAAAACGCGAGGTTTAACAAGAGCAAACACATAATCTCCTGATTCATTAAGACATAATTGTTCACATTCATTTTCAAGTTGGATTGGTTCATGACAAACACATAAATTAATATTATGTAAATTTAATTGATTTTCACCATTAATAGCTGTAGCTAAACAATTATTTTTTAAAGTATAAATATCAGCTGTATCAAATGGTGTTATTTGATAAGAATTTTTATTTGCTAATTGTATTCGACATGAACACAGAGATTTATTTTCAAAATAGAATAAAAGAATTTCTTGACTACATTCACTTGTCATTCGAATTAAGCGTGTTGGTGAATATTGTGAAAGATCAATATCCATGTAAATAATTTCATTTGATCTCCAAATGGCTAATGAATGTTGATCATCAGCAAGTACAATAAGTGATGTTTTAGAATTAAGTGTTAATATTGAAGCAAATAATTTTGAACATTTTATATTTAATTGTTTATTTGATGTTTGATTAAATTTTATATTATTTTTATTTATTTGTTGGGTTATACAACGAATTGATCCGTCATTAGTAATTAAAATAAAAGTATCTTCATTTATAGTGAATACTCGTGTTGGATAACGAAGATGAAGACGAGAAAGTGGTTCTTTAGTTAGAGATTTTAATGCATAGATTTCAGCCCAATATGCATCTGTTATAATAAGTACAGTTGTTTCAGATAAAACAGCATAATCATCAATTTTTGTTGGATTAGAAAAATGACGTTTTGATTCAATCGATGTAGAATATTGGTATAACCATGAGGTTAACTCTCTATATAAAAAATATCATCATACTAATAACTTTTCCCAATATTACGAAATAAAATACGAATGTATTAATTCAATCTTCCATATACAATCCTGGATAAAAGTTTTTCTCCCTCGGATCTCACGAGAAAAATCATCTAATTGATTAGTCGCTTTTGAGTCGAGACTATGCACATCATTTAGACTCAAATAAGTTTTGAATATTCTGAAAAAAGTTCGAACCGTTAGCTTCTTGCTGCAGATTTCTGGTAGTTTTTAAATTAATGCTGTGGCGCTCCCTCAGGAACACCAGAAAAACTAATTTTTGACTTTTGACTGGAAACTTTGCATAGAGACAGGCCTTTACGATGGTAGTTTATTCAGGAAGTTTCAGGTCTTTTGATTTACTTCTATCTTAAAATGAGAACATCGAATCTGCCAGTTTCTTTAAGCGATGTAAAAGACATGGTATTATAACAATTGTATCTTAGTATAGAAACAACGACAAGATCTGAAACATCAATGATCTCATTAAAGTCTGTCCCTATGGCAAGGTTCAAGTCAAAATTCGACAATTAGTTTGTCTGGTGTTCCTGGCATAGATCATAACATTCATTTAAAAAAGTATCGTAAAAGTATAATATCTTCGCATCAAGAAGCCAAAGGCACGAACTGTTTCCATAATATTCATAGCTCATTAGGGTCTACATAATTCATATAGTCTCGATTAGATCCTTGGCGAAGAGTTCCTCGTCAGTCAGAAGTTAAGAATAGCTTCCATGAAGTTAGATATGTCCTCACTTGTTCTTTACCAAACAAAATCAAAAAAGAAGTTAAAAGATATCTCTATGTTTGCTTATGCTTTTATTTCAAACATAGGCCGTTTTCTGAAATCTCTTTGATCCAACTCATTTAGACTTACTGTTTCGATATATCCAGTGTGACTGCTTTTGTTCCAGATAATTGAATTGTACCAATTAATTCTGTTGTACGTGGTAACGGTGGTAGTTTTTTACAAGCTTCTCGTGCTGCAAAACCATGATATGCATTAATAACTCCATTTTGCATTGAACATAGAAAAAGACTTGCTATTAGAAAATAATAAAAAGCATAATTTTGTTTATTTTTATACTAAAATCTGTTCTTACCAGAATCACCTGATGGTTTAATAGTAAGCACTGACGACGAACTGATATCAATGGAAAGAAATAATTGATGCTCATGATAATAATTACATTTGCCATTTTCATCATCTTCTCCTTCACTACACTTCCATTTATGCATATTAATTATACCACCTCGAGCAGTATATATTAAATGTGGACGTTGTGCATGTACTGAAACAACATTATATTGACCAGGAATACACACATATGATATATTTTTTTTCATACAAGTATGCACAATACATAAACATTCTTTGGTCAAAACCATAAAGAATATTTTCATTGAATCATCTGATACGTTTTCTTTATTATCAGGCAATACAATTCGTTCAATTGGTTTAGGACTTATAGGTGGATTAAAAGCAATTAATGTTTTAATTATTTCTTTATCAGATAAAACTTTTTGTGTTGTAACTATTGAATTTAAATCAATATGAGCAAAATCAATAGGAATTGTTGAATCAAATGTACAAATTAATTTATCTTTATCAGCAATAACTAAATCTAAATGTTGACCAGCATTAATTGTACCACAATGAATGAATGTTGAATCATTAAGAGTATAAAATAGAATAGTTCCATCATAAAGAACAATACTAATTAATAATGAACTTAATTTAGAATATAAGACTGTTTTAATTGATGATGTTAAGGATAAATCAATTTTAGAAAATAATTTATTTTCTCCTAAACTCCAGCATTCAACAGTATTAGAATTTTGTTCAGCTAATATACATAAACCACGTTTATTACTAATTATTTCGACAGTTGAATATCCTTTTGTTGATGTTCGGTGAAATTTAATATCACCATGACTTGATAAAAGATAAACATGATGAAATGAATTTACAAAAAAAACATATTGTTTAAATTTTTCTTCATTTTCTTCTGAATTCGAAGAATCATCAGAATCATCAGAATCATTATTAGCATTATTTTCCTTTGTATCACGAATAATCATTTTTGGTAATGTTGTCGAATTTAAATAAGATTCATTTATTTTAGGTAATTTAATATCTACTGCTGTATTACCTGTACGCATATTAATAACAATTATTTTATTTGATAAAGATATAGCTGCCATTTGATTATTTGCAAAATCCAGATCAACAACAGGCATTGTATGTTTATTCATTGAATACAGTAAACCATTTCCTGGTGGTTGTATTTGACAATATGGTACAATAAGTGCACAATGACGTGGACTTTGTTCATCACATTGTTTTAATAAATTAGTCATATTAGTTTTTAAACCGTATAATGTCACTAAACGTGATGTTAATTCAAATGCATAATTATCTGGATATTCATTAAGTAAGAGACCAAATAATAAATAAGTCATTCGAAGAATTGAAAGTTCTTTTTGAGTCATTTTAACTTCTTCGGATGATTTATATGATGATATACTTTCAAATTGATCAATATCATTTTGCATATCAATAAATGATGAACAACTAAATTTAGCATCTAAAGAGCAAAAAGCATATTCTCGTTAACTTTTTCAATTATGAAAATAAGAAACATACGCATAAATGAATAATTAAAAAAGATTTCTTCAGCTGCTATTGGAACTGCTATATCCGGTGCTAGTTTACTTAAAAATTGTGGTAATTCATTTAATTTTCTTTTATTATATTGTATTCGACCGTCAGCATCAATGAATTCAACAGGCTGTGATGTTGTAAAACGATTTGCTTGAATTTCACCAGCTGATTCATCTAATTTGTATTTATTAACTAATTTAGGATCATCGATTTTAAATGGTTTATTTTTTCCTTTCCATGTTTCTTTAAATAAATCAACAACATTTTGAAAAATTACTTTTCGTTCTGTTTCATCTAAATTTGATATATATAATTCTCGTGCTACTTCAATAAATCGACGATGATACCTATAGAAGAGAAATTATGCAAAAAAAAGCATGTTATGTTCATTAATATTCTTGCAAAAATTCAAATGCAAGAAGAACTACTAAAATTAAGACAGTGATAAAATCATAGGTATCAATCTATGCAAACAGTTAAATGATTAATTTGGAACTTTTTTCCTTCTACGAAAAAAACAATGGTCGATTCTCCTATAGAGGGAGATTATGATTCGAAAACTGAAGATCTGCAGGTATTTTAAAAAGGTAAATAACATTCAGAAATACTCAAACACAAAGTCAGCTGAACCATAGGGTGTTTTCATGACTACACATATACCCAGGAAACACTTGAACAAATACCTGACATCATTCGAACTGGTTGGATAGTTTTCGAACCAAATCATTCGCCTCAGACAACCAACTAGAGCAAGGTTCGATGCATGTCTACTCATTATTGAGTGGCTGAAAATATATTTAGGTTTATTATAGTCTATAGATATGCATCGATACGAAGCCTTTCGATCTTAGTCATACGTCGCATCAGTCTTAGTTATATGTGAACCCACTCGTCTCTAGAATTTCTGTAGATTGATTACTCAAAAACTTCTGAGACATTTAGGACAAGTAGATGTCGATGAGTAGAGTAGATATTGCCATAGACTCGAAAAATCGGATACTTCTTTGTGGATATGACAATAGCCAATTACTGCTATCTTCCCAAGCAACACGTAACGGAAAACTTGCGAGATTGATTTTCTGGTTTAAGAATATCTATCTTAGGCAAATAACAGTTTCTTATGAAGATTGAAAATAGACAAATTCTTCCGGTCAGAAAGGCTAATTTCTTACGATTTAGGTAAGTTTTATACAAAAAAGTCGTTTTTTTCCGCAAATTAGACTTTTCTTGAGGAAAAAAAAATAAATGACGAACTTTTCATCATTTCTTACTAGGTAACAGAATGGTAACTGGTCTCTCCTAATGATGACCAAGACTGACTTAGGTCAAGACCAAAAGACTCAATACATCCCTAATAATCCAGGATAAAATATGTCTCACTATTTTTTTTTCGACCTTGTTCCAATTTAAGAAAAACAACGAGAAATAAATAACGGTTTAATTAAAAAAATAATTCCGTATAAATGCTTGCATACATTCAAATAAAAAAGCACGCTTTCTAAACATGGAATAAGATTAAAATATATATAGTAACTCGAAGTGACCAATAACATGCGATGATAAGTACAAAAATGTTTTGTTTTTGCAATCCATCTTACTAACAAGCTTTTTTAGGTTTGATTCATTCTTCACAGATTTATCTACAATATATCGGGCAGATCTTTCGTAACTAATGAAGGCTGGGGAATCCTATATTTCCTATTTCTGAGAAATTTTACCATTTTTACTTTCCTTTTTATCTTAATTTTCTTCCCATTTCTTTGAACTTACGATAAACCTGATCTGTAGCACTTCAATGCCGCTTTTTTCATGTCCTCTCGAGACAATGCGAGCTAATGCTAGCATAAAAGATCATCGCGCATAAAAAATTTGTATCTTTTCGAAAAGCAAAGGCTTCTAATGTTCTTATAAATCCTTCTATAAGATTTTCAAAAAAAACAAAATCTATACCAATAAATAACAGGTGCATCATCAATTTCTTTTTCAGTAATATATTCATCTAAATCATTTCGAATTCTTGTCCATAAAATTCCTGGTAAACGTCGAACAGGTGGTATATAATGTTCAAAAACATTTTTAAGCACATCATCATCAAGTGAAAGAACATCTTCAAGTTCATTTTGACTAATACCACTTCGACACGCTGTCATATAACATAATGCTCGACTAAATAAAACACTATTATGTATTGTTTCTAAACGTTTAAATAAATAACGTATACAATCATCAACATCCTTTAATTGATTTAATTTTTCATCAATTGGATCATATGAATGCCAATAAGATATAATATCAAACATAAGTTTCATAAATAATGGAAGAATGTTATTTTTTTTATTCATTAAATTATTTATAAATAAACGTTGTTCTGTACTTAATGAACGTTGTTTTATTTCAAGCCAATCATTATAAACAATTTCAACTGTTGAAGGTTCAAATGGTGGAACATGTATAAATAATTTTTCATTTTCAATTAAAATATGTTTTAAATTTCCTAAAATACCTCCATGATCGGGTAATGTTGATACAATACATTTAACATTCGATGGAAATTCTATTGGTAACCATTTACAATCATATGCATCGCTATGTAATTGATCGATTGAATCAAGTAATATTAGAAGATATTCATTATCAGGAATTTGAGAAAGAAGATTTAAATCAAGTTGATCACGAAGTTGATTTACAGTTGGATAGGCGATCATTGGTATATTATATAATTCAGAGATTTGTCCAGATATAGAAAGTAATGTTTTATAAATAGTTGAAGAAACCGGTGTAGTTCTAGATCAATTAAAGAATGTCAATTTTTTTTTGTTTTTCTTGATTCAATTTAACCTACCCGAGAAAACGCAAAATAACTGAAACAGATCGATTAGACCACCATTTAAATATCTTGAATTAAGTTTTAATTATCTTAAGATTTTATCAAAATCAAGTTAACTAACCTCTGTTGCTGTTTTAGCTATTACACTTGTCTTTCCACAACCTGATTCACCATATACAACACATGGTCGATACTCAATATTATCTTTCACAAATTTTTCTAACTAAAAAAAGCAAAACCTTTTTATTCAATCTATTACTTCTTATCATACTTTAGATAAAACATCAATTCTTCCATGAAATTTAGCAATATATGTTTTACATTGTATAGCATGTTCAATTACTTCATGTTGTAAACTATTAGAACCAATTGTATAACGTGATTGAGCACATCGATCTATTTGTTCTTTCATAGCTGTATAGAAGTCATTATTAAATTCTTCTATATATTCAGAATGTTCTTGTCGATTAATTCCATTTGGTGACCAATGAAGTTTGTATTTGAATATGTTTTGAGATTTTAACGCATTTGGAATACGAACATTTTTTAATCGGTCGAGTAATTTTTCAGCTTCTTGATCAATAACTGATTCTGATGGCATGTCAATATATTTTCGTGTTTTTTCGTCCGATATATGATTTTTAATATCAACAATCTCACGTAAAAAACATAAAGTACGTTCATTAGCATCTTTTGCTGATAGAATACCATTGATAATTTCCTTTTCCGTAACTAAAAATCAACGTATATAAACAAATAAACTGATAAAAATCATCTTACCTGATATGAAAAAATCATCATAATCACTTTCAGTAATTTGTTCTCGTTCAAGACATGTTTCTGCTGCTTGTCGAAGACATAGTCTTAAACGATTATTTATATCTTTCCATTCTTTATCAGCCTGTTTTAGTTCATCTGTATTCTATAAAAAGAAAATAGACACAACAATTCGTTTTGAAAACAAACTCTTTCTTCGTTACTTTTGATGAAAAATTCGGTATAATTGATGATATATTTTGTAAGATGTATGCTGGTGGTATACAATTCGTATCAAGTCGATACCATTGCGTTAATAATTCAGCATCATGATTTTCATTTTGTTCATTAAGAACAGTTTCTTTTAATAAGTCGAACAATGATGCACGAATTTGAGCTGGGATTGGTCGTGAGCCATATCGATGACTAAGTAATACCTAATTTAAATAGATCAATTAATAGATATTTGATTTTTTTAAATAAGAACAAACCACAAAATTAGTAGCAACAGAATATTTTTTACATAATTCAATTTCTTTTAAACATGTTGCAACTTCTTCATGATTATTAGCTGATTCTGTTCGAATTCCCCATCGCATATCAGCATACTAATACAAATATGTGATTTTTGTAATTAATCTAAATGATAGTAACAAACCTGAAATTCTAATCCATATTTTTCACGACAATAATCTTTAAGTTTAGGAAATATATTTTCAATTAAAGAATCTCGTTCAGTTAATGTATCTAAAAAATGTAGCTTTTGATTCTACGACAGAAATTTTTTTTTTTAAAGAATTTTTAACCTGTAAATGTTGAACTAATAAAGACTCGTACAATTTTTGATCGAACATCAGGTAATTGTTGAGATCGTCCTCGTAAGATATCTAAATAATACGATGATTTCATGCTCTAAAATAAAAATCTAGATTATGTATTAAGATAAAAATGTACATAATTTCATAAAATGACGTTAAATATTAGCATAGGATTCTTACCGTATGACTCCTGCTACTTCGAAAAAAAGGACAATAATCATTAGTACAGCTACTCGATCGTCACAGCCATTCTTCTACTATTCAAACATTTACGTGATTCTCCATAGCACAGCAATTTACTCGCCATTAACAAAATGTTGTAACTCGCAGCATAGGAAACCATACAGAAGCATCCACATATTGTGCATTTTTAACAAAAACACATTAAATTCTCTTTAACAGGCGATGCATCAAAACTCACCAATTGTATGAATCGATTTGAAATAAATCCAACAGCTGATTTCGTGCTCAATCATTTGAACTTTTTTTCAGTCGCTATAAACGATGTAATGCATTTCTTAACAGAAAAAATTGAGCAAGAATTCGAATATTCTATTCTCAATTTGTACATTTGTTAAATTCTTAGGAATTACTGCACGAGAGCTATAACCAAGGTTGTTTGATTGATCCTACAAACTTGAATGAAACTTTACCTATATGTAATCTTAAGTGAGATGTAAGAAATCTAGATAATTTTACTTTAGAAAATCGTTCTCTCGTTGAAATATTCAAATAACAATCAAGACTGTCAAAGGTAGAAAAATGACAGTCATTACGTCGCCGCTCCAACGTAGTAGATTTAAATACGCAATGCATGAGCAACGATGTAATTACTCTTATTGTGCGTCTTGAGAATTTTTGTGGTTATATCAATATCTTAACAAGAGAACAATTTTAGATAGTGAAATTATTTGGATATTTTCACATCTCATTTGGAGTTACATACAATTAAAGTTTCATTGAAATTTGTAATATTCATTGAACAGGATTGGTCATCTCTTGTGTAGTAACCCTCAGAAAGTGGTAATTATACTATTGTTCACAAAGCATTTAGCCAAAAGATAACATTCGTTATGATAATATCGGATGCATTAAGATCTTCAAAAATTAATAAGCCTAAAATTTCAAAACAGAATCAGTTGTTATTCTTAGGCAGAAGTTCATCTAAATGAAATAAACAAAAGCTCAACGTCATTTTTTTATTATGTTGAAATTTATGTACTATTACTATTCTGATGACGGTCAACTTGACTTAACTGTTATTCTTCTAATGTATATAAATCATACGTGAATACGGTGAGCTCAAATCACAAACATTCGCATTGAAGACGATATACTTTTATTCTTTACTTTTCAACAAATAGGATATTTTCTCATTCAGAAATTTATATAAATAATAATTTGATAAATAACCGAAGAAGCAGAGGTACAGAATCTGCCGTGATTTTAAAAAATTTCCCCGCACGAGGGTTTATTTTCTCCAGCTATTTCCCCAAAACGCTCCTAAGAATCAAAAGATTTCCCCAAACGGCCGTGGCGCACGCGGGTAAATTCTGCACCTCTGCGAAGAAGACAGTTTTAGTATCACATATATCGAAGTCAATGTTCCAGAGGAGTAATTCACATATACGCATATGTTCTAGACTGCTTAACTTTCACTCCACCTCAAGACAGATATCGACTTTTCTTACTTTTTTACATGCACAGAAACTAACACATGTCATAACAACTACTGACTGAATCAAACACACAATGATTTTAGCAGGAATCAATACGAATGTCGATCAATAGTGATTGCAAAACCATCATGCAAGAAATTTTGCTTGTTCATCCCCTTTAAAAAAAAACATGCACCGATCAAATTCAATATCATTTAAGTAGCTTTATTACCAAAAAACTAAAGAATATATTCTGTTATTGCCTCAGCTGCATTCAAGTTAAAATTACTAGGAATGAAACAGTGAAGCCGATAAGCATATAAACAATCTATAATAATGACCAATGTATTGATACTGCTAGCTCCTCTGAACATAAAGTGATTTAAGTAACGGAAAAAAAAAGTTATCATTGTAAGTCCCTAACATATTTACTGGTCTTAACGATGACGCTGCAAGATGCTATGCTTACATCTTATATCACTTGGTGGAATGAAATAAAAATAAAACAATATCATATATAAACATAGAAAGAATTCTTTTGACATACTGTTACTATAGTAACTCCACCTTTTTGCTGAATGAATCGATTTGTTGACATGACTAACCAATCAAATTTGAACAGAACAGATGTTGGAAGTCCATATATTTTTTTTTTCATTTTTGAATTCAGTTTGATTCAATGATGCTGTCGTTCTATGTGACTCTCCTTCTTATCTCAAGTCTTTTTACGATAATTTCTTGTGGAAATGTCAAACATGCAATGTTACGTGGTGTACCAACTTCACGTAAATACTATATTTAAAGTTCTGTTTTTTTTTTTATTAAATTTCTTTAAAAATTTAGTACATTCGAAGTATGTTCCATCAAAACCATTTTCTTGTCTTGATGGTTCAACGACAATTCCCGTTGAATTTGTTAATGATGATTATTGTGATTGTCGAGGTAAATAAATTACTGAAAATTCTTTTTTTTTATCTATTTAAAGTTTTTTTTATTAATTTTATTTTAGATGGCAGTGATGAACCGGGAACATCGGCTTGCCCGAATGGACGATTTTTTTGCGAAAATAAAGGTTATATCGGTACATTAATACCATCACATTTAGTTGGCGATGGTGTATGTGGTATGTTTTCCACAAAATTTGAGAGCATTGATAAACGAGAAAAGTTAAGGCTACCGTAAAAAGTCGACCTTGGATCCGATCCGAGGCATTCAAATCGCATGAAATATGCTGGTGCTGTAATGAAGAGCCTATGCTAAATTTTTCAGTCCTATATCGTACTGTTGTTTTCGGAAGGTATTTTAACAAAATTCAAAGTTCTCTGTTGACTCTCATTTCGTAGATCAACTATTTTTTTATTTGAAAGAGCATGTCGGATTGTAGTGTCCTTTTTTTAAAAGTCTTAGTTCTTATCTGAAGAAAAAGGACGAGAAGTTTAATAACTTGAAAAATGGTCACCTATTTATAGAAATGTTTTTATTTTATGCGGTAATAAAAAGGCTTCATTCAAGAAACTAGCACTGCAGCTTCACATGCTCTTTCAAACAAGTAGAAAGCCATTGGCTACAATGATATTCGTTGGAGAATTCTAAGATGCACAACCAAAAAAGCATATTTTTCAACTAGAAGGTGGCGAAAATCATCAAAATTTTTTGGTAAAAGACAAGATATCAAAATAAAAAAGTTGTATCGCTTATGAAAAATCAGAGGAGAGACTATCATCTTCGTTTTGATTTTTGTGTCGAAAATTGACTTTTTTTGAAGAGGCTCTTCATGAATGTAAAAGGTGTGGGTGTATATATGAATGAAGAGAAGACTAAGATCCTATTTACCTTCATTAATTTGTTTGCTGTGGGTTCTCGTGCTCATCGTTCCGATTCCCGATTAGGAAAATTTGATTGAGATCAATGACTATTTTCGTTTTTTTTTCTATTCATATAGATTGTTGTGATGGTTCTGATGAATATGAAACAACAATTGTTTGTAATAATACATGTTTGTAAGTAATTTAATAAATAAAAATAAAATAATATCTATTTATTTATTTAAAGTGAATTAGCTCAAAAAACTAAAGCTGAACATGAAGCAAAACGAGCATTACATGAAGCAGGTGTAGCTAAAAAAAAAGAAATAATGGCTAAATCAATAGTTACTCAATCTACTCGACTAGTAAATTTAAATTTTGATTATAAAATTTAATAAAAACAATTTCTTATGTTAGACACGTATTAATGAACTTGAACAAGATTTACAAAAACTTGAAAATGAATTAAAAGAAAAAGAAGGTAAAAATTAAAATAGTGAATATTTAATTTAAAAGAAAAACATTTAATTATTCTTTTCAATAGAATTAAAACAAAAAGCTGAAATACCAGAAACTGAAGCGAAAGAAAGACATCACAAACTATGGGAAGGTATTTTCATTTTATATATGAAAAAAACATTTTTCAATATTCTCTTAATTTTTTAAATTAGAACAACGTGCTGTACGTGAAGCGATTGCACGTGATAACCAAATGCGTGAAATGTTTGCCGATTTAGATACTAATAATGATTCATTGTAAATATTTTGATCTTTACTAATCTAATTGTTATTTTTTTTTATCTACTAGAGTATCAACTGAAGAATTACAAAAACATACAGAACTTGATACTGATCTTGAAAATGAATTTACCGTTGGAGAAGTTCGAGTATGTTATTACTTTCAATTTTGTGCAACACGATCTCAAAGTAGCGTTGAAGTAGAGGGATAAAAATTTGCACTCTTCACAGTCATCGCAGACACTAGTCAGGGACTATCATAGGCAGTGACAAACACTGCTGATATACGATCAAAGACTGTATATATTATTAACGTTTTGTTATAATATATTAACTAACGGTGGCCCCTGAAATATGAGAGTCTGCAGATTGTCTCTAGTTTTCATAGATTCGCATTGAATTTTTTCCGAAAGGTTTACCGTTTAATTCTCTAAAAAACCCATATACAAATGAGTGCCATAGAAATAAAAGTAAGCAAAGTAGTTACTATAGTAATAATGCGGACATACAATTTCTAAGCTTGAAATAGAGTTTTCCTGTATTTATATGCTACCACTTCAAACTATATAGACAAATTGTATTATTCATTTTATCGAGTTTCAAAAGGTCTATCTTATTAGTATCTTCAAGAATTTTTATAAAAAACCTTATTGCATAAAATAAGCGTTGCTTTCTTTTTCAAATTAAAAAAACATGATGGTTTTATTTGAAATAAATAACGTTTATTTAACTCTTATGTTGTTTGTAAAGTTTGACATGAAAACACGTAAATATCGGATAGCTATATTTTGAGTTATGAAAGTTGTATGTCCGCAGTATTACTGCATTTACTTTCTTTTGTTTACTTTTATCTGTACGATATCTATTTATTTATAGTTTTATAGAGAATTAATCGCTGAATCTAATGAAAAAAAAATGTAGGCCAAAACATTGAAAATTAATAGAAATATTGAGAAGACCATGCATTTTATGCCATCCGTTGGAAATTCTTTTGAAATTTGTTGATATTTCATGTTCGTAATATTACTATAATAACGTTTTGGCTTTTGTTTTCTATGAGATACATTTGTGTATAGTTTTGTAGAGAATATATTGAGAAAAAACAGAGATCATTATTTTTTATCGACCATCCGCTACTTCCTTGTTAAATTTCTGAAGAATTCAGTAAAAGCATACTGAAGAAATGTGTCTCCAAAAAGATAGAATAAATCAATCTTACTGTGATTAGCAAGATAAACTGCATCGCGTTTCACATTTTAATCCTTGAAAGATTGTGCTAATAGCTTTTCTTGTTTGTTTTTTATCCATTAGTCAATTCTTGGTGCTGATTCTGTAAATTTTGATGAATTTAATGTAACTGTATTTGAACAAATATCAAATTCTTATCAACCATTACAACAACCATCGACTGAAACTTCTGTTGATCTGGATGATTTAGCTGCAGCAACAGAAGCTCATTTAAAGAAAGAAAAAGAAGCAGCAGAAGCAGATGCACGTTTAAAACAAGAAGAAACACACTTCAAAGAAGAAGAAGAAGAAGAAGCAGCTGCAGCAACAGAAACTACAGAAGGTGATTATGAAGAAGATCCTAATCGTCAAGAAGCCTCATCACATATTGCTACAGTAAGAAAATTCAATAAGAAATATTTATTCGAAATTTTTTTTTTTTTTTTTATACTCTTAGTCACTTGATCATGGAAAACATATTCATGATGATACACCACCAGAATATGATGATGAAGCAAAGAGATTAATTGAAATAGCTGACCATGCTCGAAATGAATATAGTGAGGTTGAAAGAAAAGTTCATGATATTAAACGACAAATAGAGTTAGTATTTTAATAATTATTTTATTAATTAATTAATTTTTTTCGTTCTAGAGATTTAAAAAAGCAATCTGATGTTGATGTTGGCATTCATGGTGAATATTCCGCATTTATTGATCAATGTTATGATTATGAAGAACGCGACTATACATACCGAACATGTATGTTTAAAGATGCTAAACAAATATCAAAAGGTGGTGGTAGTGATGTAACAATTGGATATTGGGATTCATGGTCTGGACCAGCAGATAATAAATATTTAAAAATGAAATATTCAAATGGTGCAACATGTTGGAATGGTCCAGCTCGATCATTAACCGTTACATTTCAATGTGGAATTGAACACAAAATAGTTGATGTAAGAGAACCAACTCGATGTGAATATGCTATGTTATTTGAAACACCATCCGCATGTGATGAAACTATTGCGGCAACATTAATACATCCTGATCATCAAGAATTTTAATAGATTTTCTTTGGATTTGTCGAACTATTGACATTCTTTTTTTCTTCGTAGTTAGTATCTGCTTTGTGTTGTTGTTGTTACTATTGTCGGTGATATTTATGTTGTTGGCTTACGATTGTTACTTGACTCATCTCATTTTTATATGTAATGCCACATTCTTTTTTTTTTTTTAAATAAACAGCCAAAAAGTATAAAATAATTATATATTAGAAACGTATTAACCTATGGTGTGAAAGTTTTGGCATAAAATATTTGCTCATTTTTTTTGACTAACAAAAGACAACTGGTTTGGAGCTAGAAGCAACTAGTCAGAATGAAAACTTTTCACTATGTTTGAATATATGATCAGGTTTTTCTTCTGACGTAAGATTGAACGACTAACAGTACATTTTGTGAAAAACTTCAAAATTATATTTGTACAAAGTAAAATAACGGTTTTGGCATAGTCCTTAGTTTACGTTTTGAAACAGCTTCAACTCAACATTGTTGTAGAACAGTGAATTGTGCATAATGTGAAATGTTACAAGAGATGAAATTTTATCTCACTCAAAATCTTTGCCTTTTCACTAAAGAGCTAATTTCTATAGAAATCGTTATTTCAAAAACAGCTGTTAAAACTACAAAAGTGTTGAAATCTGTCGTGCAGGATAAAACAGAAAAGTAAATAGCATTCTTTGCACATCAAACTTTGCTCTAGAAAATCGAGCTATAAAAAACTGTTTCAAATTTTGAATTTGACAGATTTCAATCGAAATACAAAACTCATCCAAATAGTATTCTGTATAACCACTATTTTGAAACAATCCGGTGATAGTTATCTAATCGTAACCCAACAGAAAATTCTGAACACATATTTGAAAAGAGCAAAAAGTTGGATTCCAACTATCCCTTCTTGTAAGGAATCATGCGTCGAATGTAATAGAAGACTCCCTTTAATTAATTAGTCTCTCGCAAAATTGTCACTTTGATTTCTGTATTTACGTCAAAATATGCGTAGTTTTCAGTTTTGAGCTGAAAAATCTTAAAAGACTAATGTCAACACTATTTCTGAGTTTTTACAATTCTAAAAATCGCCTTTCAAATCCTCAAAATCATTTAGGTTTTTGAAAACTTATGTTAATTAAAATTTATGAAAATAAATGAGATGAAGTAGAAAATCCAGGGTCTTCTATTGCGACGAAGAGCTTAACCTGCTTTCGACTGTGATCAGCTATATTGAAGTGGTAGCAAAGTGAGTAAATATTTGGTACCAACGCTTTTGCGCCATAGGTTAGAATTCATTAGATTGCCAATGAGTAGAGTACATCAAAATCTAAGATATCATTCAATGCACATATTACACACTTAATCAAGTCATTTTTATATTCCAATTCATTTGATTCAAAAAGAAAACTTGAATGTATGTGAAAACATGCAGAAGAAGTTATTGGCGCAATCCCTGTAGGATTAAAATACAAGACACGACGTAGTTGCTCTTTTTAATCACAGTGAGATTGTTTTATTCTATCTATATTGGGACGTGCTTCTTCACCATCCTTTTACATAACTCTATCTCTCATTGAGATTTTAGTAGAGCCACTGATTAAACGACTGTTGAGATAGAATATTGATGTACCTAATTTTGTCGATAGGATGGACAGATCGATCAGGTGCAGTCTCGTTTGGTCGCTCTAGTAACCATTGGGGAAAAAAACAACATGTCAAAAACTCTATATGAGGCCGTTGTTCAATGGAAAAATGTCATAGACAGCTCGAAGACATCTCATTTTGTAGAGAATGGTTTACTCTACCAGTTCGTTTAGTATGAGTACATTTTTTGCTCGAATTATAGACACTAATAAAGCGAAGATTTGATTTTCTAGAAAAATTCGTAGAGATCATTGTGTGTTTTACTATCGCTTTCTTACCTAGCTTTTGTGAAATGTCCAAATAGTATTTATATCATTACTAGGCATTGCCATTGTTATCTGTCATACAATACATTTCCATCATATATCTTGTTTATAGATTGGAAAACATTTTATTCCAAAATCAAATGTAACTTTTGCGGTTTTTCAAACTTATCAGTTTTGCAACTTATTTCTTGAAGACGGAACAGCATAAAAGAAAATATTTTCTTATCAACTAATAGTTTGTGGAGTTCACTACAAGAAATGTTTTCGAATTTTTTTTTAACTTGATAAATCCTTTGTTTTCTGCCATTGTTCTATAGATAATCACTCGAGTGACCGAAACGGTAAAGGGGTAATCCTCTGAAAATGCAATGAGTAATCTATAGATTTTAACGAGACATTATTAATATATAGTCTATGATCGTATGTCAACAACATTCATCACGATCTGTAATGTATCCATAGTAATGTTATTGAGAGTCAGAATGTCCACCCTATATTTCAACACTCTTTTTAGCTTGTGTTTCACAAACTACGTCCCTGTTGTATTATTTGCATCTAATTATTCTTGTAAATACTATAGTAGACCTATGTGACAGCTACCGAGAAACTGTCGTTGGTTCTTTTGAAAGTGTTGCATCATGATGTATTGTATCAAAACGAGTAAATATTTTTGAAACTTGTTGAAATTAGCAGCATGGAGTTGTTTTTTCATGCATTCAAATAATATTAATACATATGAGCCATCTCTTCTAGCCACATAGATCAAATTAGCCCCAATTATGAGATAAATTTTTATTAGCAAAAGGTATGCTGAAACTGTTTTTTTTTTCTCGATGTATCTGAATTCTTTCTGACAAATAGTTCAAATTTTGGGAGAAAATATTTTCTGTAATTGTTTATAGCTGGAACTGAAAGTTGTCAGCACTATCAAAGATTTATCAATGGTAGTGCGAACTAACGTGCGACACGAAGAGTTCATCAGATTCATTTCAGATCTAAAATAAGCAGGTTCTAGTGGAGATATGAGTCTGTGTTCAGGTTTCGACATTTTTCTAATTGGACAAGTGCTTTCTCTCATAATGAATTTATTTCAAAATTGAATAATATCTTGAAACAAGATGGCTATGTGTAACTACTCTTCTCATATAGTTTCTAACATGAAAATTGGTTTTCTATATTCTGCAAGTTTATCATTTTGTGTATGCAAATTTTCATTTTAATGCCAACATGAATATTTCAACTTTTTTTTTTTTTTATCCAAAAAGGCAAAAAAGAGTCAAATGAAAATTATCAATATCATGAATACATATTGTTCGATATGAAATATTAAATACCATGATTAATAGTATTTTTTCATTAAATTAAAATTTTTTCCGATGAGATTATCGTTTAGAAAATAAGTTTTCACTTCTGAATATACTTTGACCGGGTTTTGCTGTTGGTGGTAAGACATTGAATGATAATGTGGATTGAAAATTTTCCAAATCATTTTTTTCTAAAAGATCCGCTTTTCTTTTTTATTTCATACAATAACGTTATAAATTATTTTTGATTTACTTACGAAACTCTTGAAGTACTTTACTATATTTTTCGGTAGAATTAGGATTATTAAGTATTTGAGATGATGGTTTTTTTAATATTGATGCTAATGGTTGACTATTATTTTGTACTCGTATACTATCCATCCATGAATAATTTGGTTGATCAATAATAGCCGAAGAAGTAAATTGAAGAGAATTGTTGCTATTTGAAATTAAATCAGAGAATGATGAAGTATGAAGAATCTATCAATAGAAAAATGTTGATCAATATTAAATAGATAAAAAAGAATATTCAAACTTTTCGTTGTTGTTGTTCATTTGAATGAACTTTTGCTGCTAATTGATTAAGACGTTCTATTTCGAAATCGTTCTGTAGACCAAGTGATTGAAATGTAGGTGCATTTGTTGAAGTAGTATTTATTTCATGTGTACCATCATTGAAATTTTTAGTAAAAAATGATAAAGATGGACTTGGAAAAGGTGTTTGTTTAAGGCGAGTGTCCATTTTGAACATTGTTGCTTTTGTATGATTACCAATCTATGATTTTAGATTATATTAAATAATAAATAAAGTTTTCTTTTCTTTTTCTTACTGATGATTTTGTTTCTTTTTGATCTAGATAGAATTTAAATATCGATATATTCGAATGTGTTGATTGTGTTCGTTCTAATAAAATACGATCATCTTGTGAAGGTTTACATACAGCTGTTGTACGCAATGCAAAGCTTGGTAAAGCTACAATATGTGGAACAGCAACAACCATTGTTTGATTGTCATTCGAATCTGTCCATTTTGATGTGAATAGGTCTGTATTTTGGGATTGTTGAGCTACATAAAATAATGGTTTCTTTTTTTCTTGTTTTACTTGTTCAAGAGTTACTGTTGAAGGTGTTATTGAAGTTCTAGACAATGTTCTTTTTGGAGCAGCTAAAAATAAGTGTTTATTTTTCTTTCGTTTTAGAGATTTCAACATGAATTGTAATTTATTATTTCATACGAACCTGTAATAGGAAGAGGAGTTTTACGTGTAACAGGAGTTGTAGATACAACGGGAATATTTGGATTAGCAGAAGCATCATTTGTAATACGAGCAACAGAACGAATTTCATTAGAAGAAATGATAGAATTAACAGGAGTAACAACAATAGGACGCGTAATAGATCTTATAGGAGTAGTAGGGGTATTAATCGTAGGAGGAACAGGAGACGTATCAGGACTAATCACAAGATTGAAATTGGAAGATTTATCAGGGACATCATTAAGAGATAGAGTAGGAGAAACAAGTGGAATCGCTAGTGTTGGAGAAGTAACTGGAATCACTGGTGTTGTAGAGACAATTGGAACTGTAGGTGTTGGAGAAACAATTGGAATCACTGGTGCTGGAGAAACGACTGAAATCGCAGGATTTGGAGAAGTTGTAGAAATCTTGTTGGCAACAGAAATATTGGCAGTCGTAGAAGCTAAAAGAGCCACATCATCGAAAGACCTCCATGGAACAGGAGAGGTAAATGACTTTTTACGAGTAGTAGTATTATCAGGATTAATCACAGAGACAGATGTGCGAGGAGCAGAAGAAGTTGCAGGAGCAGCAGGAGTAACAGTTGAGTTGCCCATCACGTTTTTTTCTTTCAAGTAATTCTTGCTTATTGAATGTTATGAATTCATTATTTACTTTCAACGGCTTCATTCTATAATACAATTTTCAAGTGTAAAACTAATCAATAATAACAAGATGAGGATTCCTATAATATAGTTGAAAGTCTAAGTTCGGAAAAAAAGGAAAGATTTCGTGAAATTTTAAAGAAATACATTTTATTCGAAGTCATTCCTGTATTTGTCTTTTTTTTCATATGAAATAGTGACATCTATCATCTAAATGCCACAATCCTTTTATATTGGCTATAAATCAATCCAACTAGATGCAGAAGCGACCTTTATATTATATTATTTATTTGTCGAGCATAGAAAAGCAACTACTAGCGATTACGTGTCTACTAGTTCTCCATTGCTGAGTCAGTTTCTTTCTTGTTTTTTTTTCTTCCTGTTGAAATAAATTATATTAATATTATTTTCTTTAACAAATTGACTACTTAGATATATTCTTAAAACTCATCGCTTGGTTAAAGCCGATTTATATTTATTGTTTTTTCGTTTTTTTTTCTTGGCTTATAATATTATTATTATCTATTTTACAATGCTTTCATTTATCTATATCATATAATTGTCCAAATGGAAGCAAATAAAGATGCTGCTTTACATTATGTAGAACTTGCTGAAAAAGCAATTCTAGCTGATGACAATGAACGAGCTATTCGTTATTTAAATAAATCTATAGATCTTTTCCCAATACATAAAGCCAAAGGTATATTCAAAAAAGAATTTTTTTCTAAATTGAGTTTTCTTTAAATTAAAGATCTTCTTGAACGACTGACAAATTCGACCACTCATTCGAAAAATAATGATAAAGCTCATGAATCCACTTCATCTTCAAGTCATCATCATGCAACGACAAATAGTACTTCATCACATGCAAGACATAGAACAACTTCAATATCCAGTAATGATTATACGCCTGAAGAAGTAGAAGCTGTACGCAAGTAAGTAAACAATTTAGTTTGTGTACATGTGGAAAGAAAAACTCAAAAAAAAACGATAAAGATCCTACTTTTTGTCATTTAAAAAATAAGAACGCGAACTAAAGACAATCAAATGCTTGTTCTATCCTTGTTGATCTCGACAGTGAAGTAATTCTATATATGATTCGTTGCAAGCGAACATGTGTACACCATGAGCTATGTTAAGAAAAAAAACTATTTTTAAAATAGATTAAGAATAATAGAATGACATTATTATTCAATTTCAAATGTCACAACAACAAGATTACGAAATAAATTGATCTTCGTGTCAATGTTAAATCAGTTATCGGTTGTTTTTAGAGCCATTTTACTATTCTGAAAGTTTGTCTCGAATGTAGCAACTCGTCGGTAAATGTTGTTATTTGTGTTAATGCTTTAGCACCAAATTGAATTGTTCGATATTAAAAGTGAGGTTTCTTACTTGTTTGTTGATAGTGAAAATGTTGCTCGAAACTCAATTTTGAGAAAGAATTTGTTTGTTCAAAAATCTATTGTGTTACACGATTATGGTTCTTCGACTTCCAAGGAATATCTGAGAGAATCTTGTAAGATAGCAAATCATTTTTTTATGTGAGTTTTTTCAATAAAACATCTTCAAAATTGACTGTTGAGTTGAAAACTTTCAGAAGTGAACTCCTCAATAGAACTTTCCAGTGTCTCTTAGACATCCAAATGAAAAGTTTTTGTTATGCAGAAAAGCAAACTTTGTTATTATATCCTAGAAAAGTTTGCATGCGAAAGTCAATGTTGAAGATGATATGTAGCGAGTCATAATACCGTGTTGAAAACTCAATAAAATAGCCATCATTTAAGCCCCCCCCCCCCCCCAGGAAGCAACCTT